TTCTCCAAGTCTCAAACTTAACAAAAATTCCAATGAAGAGTTACTTGGAGCCTATATCTACGACACAACTATTGTACAGATAAAACAATGGCGAGATGATTATATTAGGTTGTCTCATAAGTAGTGTCACTTTTTTCCAAAGCAAAAAGTTTCCTTCTAAAAACTCAAACTATTACACAACACAATGTCAATACCATTCGAAAGAGAATTGTCTGCTCTACAATTTTGTGTCCTCTTCCACCTCTGTTCCAGGGTTTTCAAATTTTAGGCCTGCGAAATGGGAGGTCCAGCCGACAAAAATTGACCAAACCGACAACTATCTCTAACTTTATCTTCCCTTGGGAGAAATCAATCAATGATGTACCCTCTACTTATGCATGACCTCTTCTAAACATTACACTATTAGGTTTCCCAACAAGTCGCGTCATTCCATTTCCAGACCTGGTTTTTCAACCAGAACTCGACGGTCGAGCACCATTACCTGAGATCGAGGTCGAAATTTTTTTATAGCCGAGACATTGAAAAACTAGTAGAATTAAAGAACAAGTCATGACTAAGTTAGGAATGTACCTGGTTGATTTTCTCATCTTCTCAGGGATAATTTTTTTCAAAGAAATGCGGTCACTTTCGTGGATAAAGCACCTTATTCCTAAACACCTAAAATTCGAACTAATTCCCAACAAACAGAAAACAAAACAAATGAGCGAATAGAGCAGAAGAAGTGCTCACAAAAGGAACACCACTCGATATGAAACAATGCGTTTACGAGGAACAATTTTAATTTGAAAATTGCTATGGCTTATCGGTCAGCCAATTCGAAAAGAAACACGGCAAAGCTTTTTCGGCAACCTAAGAGTGGAATGTTTAGAAGAGGTCATGAGTAAGTAGAATGCATCACTGATAACCTTTCCCAAGATTTCCAGTAATATTCATTGGACTCAGTGATTTCTGTTAATTCCCCCCACTTTTTTAAACGGGCGGAAGGGTGCAAGTGGCAAATTCACCACGCGAGCGGTCCGGGGATCAAATCCTGGGTCGTGAGTCGCCCGGGCCAACCAAGCCTTCCATCCCTCCGGGGTCGGTTAATTGGTACCAGACTTGTCTGGGAGGATAAAAACACTGACTTGTACATCGGCTGGCCCCCGCAAGTCATTGTATAGGCCACATCGCATTCAAACGCCACTACGAATGTACAAATGGAAGTAGAATGCGTGCCGCATCCCAAAAAGGGATTGATCAACGGCAAATGCTTTATCCTTTTTTATCCTTTTTTCCGCGCTCTACTATCGCTAACATTTCAAAAAAAATGTAATAAAAAACGATACAATAAAAAAATGAAAAAGGAGGGTGGAAAAAAGTTGAGAAGATTTGCAGGAATCCTGTGCCCCATTCTATTTCCGCTCCCCGCACTGACAGGCTGTTTTGGGGGCGTGTCAGGTTTAGAGGCAAAAATGGCGTCAAACTGAATAAAATGAGCAACAAACCATATCATTTAAGTTACTACCGCTTCGATTTTCGCTCGTGTTTGTGGATGGAATTATAAACCAGAGAAAATAGTGGTAGAGTTCATAGTAACAATAAGGGATGTAGTCGAGCGGATACGAGAACAGTAAACGCAAAAATTCCATGCTATGGGCTATCGTCAGGTTTCGGAGCAGGTGTTGCAATGGCAAGTAACGTCCTTGACCATACGCAGGGTTAGGGGGTCAAAATTTCGTCCTTTCATAAAGCAATCCATCTTTTCAAAAGTGCTATTTGGTACCAGTCTCGTCTGGAATGAAAACATTGAACTTATTTCAGCTCATCTTTCTTGATTGCGCTGAGCAGCCGGCCGTGTGTGGTCGATGTAAAGATCTATTGCGTTTCAATCCCACCCCGATTGTGTTCGGTAGTAGGCCGCTGTGATGGCAACGAATCTTAAGAGCAAAAGACGGGATCAATAAGGGGGTCTTACACGGCGATTGAGAACTGAGTACAGAAAAACCGACAAGGCCGTTAACAAAACCCTCTTTCCCACTAGCAGTGAAGGAGGCTGGCTTGGGAAAGAGGCACGTACAAACAAGTTTTCTGGAGATGTCAGTCGTTCTATCGGTTGATACGGCAATCAACCTAGCTGATTTCACACGTTATGCCAGCCACGCACCACTTCCGGAGGTGGGCGGTCCTGGATTGAAACCGAACGCCCGGGGCCTTAAGGAGGTTTTTCAAGGTGGGAAGTTGCTGCAATGTGTGCAGCTACCCACATACAACCTCAGGCACGGGAATTACTTCTCTAGCGTGCCTGAGCCCGACCTTTGCCTTTAATTCGACTGCTCCAACTTGTTAGCTTATCAATTGAGTAATCTCAATGGAGAATACGGTGGTTCTGAAGTACCCATTCATTGTGCCGCACAGCACCAACGAAGGTGGTGGTCAATATTAAAATTGCGAAGGCGGTAGCCTAGAATTGTCAGATCGCAATGTAACGTGGGTTGTTATATGGACTGGATGGTCATGTGCTAGGGGGCCAAACGGATGACCATCCGCTAAAAGAAGCAGCGATGGACTACTCCGCGAAGCCTACAGTACGACCGCGAGGAGCCCCGAAGAAAAGGTGGAAAGACGTAATCAAGAAGGACCTAGGTGAGGTCGCGGCCACGATGGAAGATGCCCTGGACAGAGCAAAGTGGCGACGGCTGACAAAAACAGCGGACCCTGCGACTGCGCGGGACTAACGCTAGGGAGAAGAAGAAGAATGGTAAAGGTTGTCATAGGAGTTCACGTTGTATTCTCCCACGTCCACCTCTCTTGAAATCTGAGCATTTGTTTTTAAACAGTTAGTTGTTGCTACTGTGCCGAATAGGTTTTGTACGGGTGACATAAGTTGTTTCACGGTCTAACATTTCGATCCAATTCGTCGTTTCAAAGGCCCTCTATCATCTTCACCAACGCCGATACTCGCTCAGCCCTCAATGATTTGTAATAATCAGTTTCAGTTTTATTCTACTGATTATACAAGTCTGCTGTGAGTGAGGGAGGCTGAGCGAGTGTCAGCGCTGGTGGAGCTGAGGCCTTTGAAAACGACGAATTTATCGAAACGTTAGGCTGAATAAATATTCCAAAATACAGAACCTGTTCCTGCACAGTAGCAATTATTAACAGTTCACGCTGTGTCTCATGAAGTGGGTAAAACTTCACTTCGTGCGTCACATGTTCAAAAGAACCAATAAAACCCTAAACCACCAGACGTTGACCGACAATTTTTTGAATTAACGCGAACATCACTCTGCCTCACTCAGAACATTGGCAGCTTGGGTGGGCAATTGGCCTGTGCATGAAAATGAATTTCAAACGCTGGTGACATATCTTCGGTATTTTTTATCCTGCCAAGAACGAACACTGGATCTATTTATACATCCTCAGGGAGACAGATGGATCGGCGGGATTTGATCCTTGGAGCGCCTGGGAAGTGACGTCACTTGTTGCTATATCAACGCCGTCTATACATAGAAATTCTGCCTAGGCTTCAGTAAAAAAAGGTTTAAAAATTGGATATAGTCATTAAGATAATCTAAAGGCTGGAGAAGACATATGTTTTTTGTTTGATTACATTTATTTATCGCACAGCAGCACCCCAAAGGAAAATGTAAGCGAAGTTGAAGTGTGTCGTAAGGGAAGATGCCCATAGACTAGGAGTGGTGATGGGAGCTCATATCGAGACCTTCTAGGGGGCCGGAGGGAGAGAGAGAGGGGTCGTTACATTCTTGGAAAAGTGGAACGCGTTGGTTGACCACACTATAAGAGGCTTTTATACGTTTTTTTTTCAGATTTTTACATTGTTTCAACACACATTCACCAATATGACGCTTCTTGCAGTACATATAACAATTTTAAATCGGTTTCATCTATTTTTTTCATTTTTCACGGGTTGTTTTAACCATAAACAACAACATTCTTCACTTGTGTCGAAAGTGTACCACAAGCTATCAATAAATTTATCAATGTACACTATTACTATGCGAAAGGCAGTTGAGTAAAGGTCAAGATATCTAACGGCTAGAGTTCTGCTAAATGATCTCGAATTTCTTTCGGCGAAACGAGCTGCGCCGAATCAACACTGAAACATTTCGTATCAAATCCAAATCTCGAATCACAGAGGACAGTAAAAATAAAGAATATAGAAAAAGATAAAATTGAAAATGGAAAACAATGAATAATCCTGAGCAAAAAAATATGTAAAATTGCGATATGAAATTTTTTAGTTATTACGATTTTCAAGTTGAATTGTGGTCATCGTCCGTCGAAACATTTGGTCAGCTTTGGCGAACATCCAAGGGAAAAAGTCTTGTTCCAATTCTGAAAACGAACAACAATCAGATCCCATTTAATCTCCGTAAAATAATAATTATTTACTTCAGTATAAAGTAAATGCAAGGATATATATCACTATCAGTATCATCAATATCAGTGTTAGTGATCAATAACGCTCAATTAAAGGTCAGTGTAACTAAAATCAAATGTTTGAAGTAATCCATTAGAACAAATGTTAGGCTGTAAAGTTTCATGGAGAAGAAAATGTCTCATGGTCAGTGCTGAAGACAATCTCTAATAGGTCGTTGGTCGAATCCTGTTTAGAATTTTTATAGTCGGCTAGTTGGTACCTAAAGATCTAGGGTGTATGGGTTCAACTTACGCTTAAGCACTGGCTACATCATAGTGAATAGAAGTCGAATGAATTGGTACAAAGGATTTGGTGAGCGCGGTGGACCCAGTGATGTCTTGGATTTATTTCAGTAATGCCCTAGAACTTTCAGTATTTTTCATTCAGTGAATTAGCGAGGCCAGTTTTTCAGTACTCGAAGCATGACTTACTCGTGATTCGTTGGACTACTAGAGCCAGATTTTTATATGGTTTAGTTATTTTAGTGGTTGATTTTGGGGATGGAACTCGATTCTGGACTTTTAGCGGCGTGATAAGTGCCTTAATTGCCGCCACCCGTTGTTGAACGTTTTAGAAGAGGAGAAGGAAGGATTCGAGTATTTATATTAGATCCATGAGCCGCGGCCCCATAACGTTTGGTCACACATTTTGCGCTCTGCAAAACTGAAAAATTATTTCTGAATTATTAATTACAAAGGTAGGGCATTGAATTGCCTGGCCAGAATCCCAGAAAGTATGGAAGGGAGTTTGAAACTATATCCACATGCAATAGACTAGTCTACGTTGGTGCCATTTCGAAGTTTTTTCTTAGTTTCCATTGGAATACCACCTCTGAATGCATTGACGAGCAACTTAACCATGCAAATATTTATCAATGCCTGCTTCGACTAGGTGCCATTCGTGCTCTGAAGCTATGTACTTATATTTCTCTTCAAACAGAAACTTTGAAATGGTCCCAGTAATTTGCGACGAAGATAAAATGTGAATAGGAAAAGTTCCAAAAAAACACTGGGATACGAAACTTTTGGTTTCAACGCAGTACCCTAACCCGCGGGTCTCGGCTATGAGAAGGTAGGCACATCACACGTACACGATGTACGGCACTGTTTCAGCTTAACTCGAATGTCATGGGATGGCCTAAATATGTAGCTATATCAGGCGATGACACGCTTACGTGTAGAGCAGGGCTAGCCTTATGTTGTACAAGTGTAGCACGGGGTCGTTGCCTTTGCTTTTCGGCTGAAGAAGTTGCATGTGATAGGTGGGGGAGTGGCGCGGTGAGAAGTTTGCCGTTTCAGCGTGCGTATGAAATATGGAAATCTACATGGAATGGTAGGGAATGTAGGGAATGTATGAGGTTTCATGTAGGTATAAACACGCTCGAACGGATAGATTTTTTGGAAGTTAGAATATAGTGAAGGAGGAGTTTGTATTGAAATTTTATGAGGGAGGAGGGGTCGTAAAACTTTCTGAAAGGAGCAACCGATACGAACGTCTAACGTGTTAGAGCCGGTTAGCCGATATCGGCAACGAACCGTAAGGCTGAAAGCTTTAACAGTTGATTTTGACTTGCTTTCGATGATTAACGGCTTTTTTGGCAACAGTTCGCCTTGCAAAAGTTTTAGAAGGATACTCGTCTTCAACCCAATTTCCTTGTAAAATTTTCGTAAGATGAAATGCAGCCAACAGTTAACAAAGACAAGTTTGAAGTGTGAATTTAGAATATATACCGTTATATTCAACCTTGGTTTTGTTTTTTCTAAAAGCTTAAAAATTTTCCATAAATTTTCTGGTTATTAGTAATCAACTATCCGAAGCAATAAGAACTGTCACCTGTAGTCATTAGTTGAAGTTTAGTTAGATGGCTGCTCATCGACCTGGTGTCCAACCCGATGCTTCTCGTTTTCGTAGCGGTTTCATTCAACTTTTCAACATGATCCATACTTGATTTGGTGATCTGAAATAGCTGTCGCTTAGAGGTACCGTCAATAAAAACTCCTATCCATTGTTCTCCACAGCGGCCATTAGTGTTTCGTGTGACGGTGAAATGTAGTAATTATGCCCAAAATTGAAAGTAAAAAATCTTTTAAATACCGGCCAACGATTTCAGGACTTTCATAGAAAGATAAAACGCACTGTTCAAGTTGAACAAAAAAGCGTGCAGGAGAGAGACTCAAATGCTGCGCCGTTTGTTGCTTTGTGATCTGCAAATTCAAACATTTCTTTCCAAAACAGTTTTTTTCCCACATTCAGTGTGGAGACCTATGCTCTCATGGTGTTAGGGGGACATTCACAACAAGCATCCTAAAATTCGCAGGTAGGTAACACTAGGACCAATGCCAGGAGAGAGGAGAAACGCTAGGGAGGCGAGTGTTGCTCACGTCTTACCCTCAGAATCCCTTCCCCTCCCTAGTCGTAAGGCCCACTCCTGGAATCTGTAAGTGCACTCACTCCAATGTCCCCTCCCCCTGCCCCCCCCCCACCCCCAACCTCTCCTTCCTAATGACATGAGCGCCGAGATCTGTATTAACACGTTGAAGACATCGCACGTTTTGATTCTTTTGGCCGCGTGTTACCGGGGCGATTTGCGAGCGCGAATACCTCATCTCACATTTTGTATTTCGAATTCTAAACATGCATGTCGATGTTTTCTCAACAAATTTTCTCAATAACGCTCAGTGTGTTTATCATATTAGCAGTTGCATTATTCGAAGTTTGAACAAAAGATCTGTTATGTTGATGGAAAAGGCAAGCCTAAAGTCCTCCGTGGTACTTAGTAATTTCAAAACTGTTCTGTACGAGGTCGTGTGGGTGTCCCCCAAGAGGCGAGCGCAGGACGTGCTGTGCTATATGAGACGTGATATGGTACACTCTATTTAACCTGACGCCTGAGATGTCGGTCAGACTCTGCGATTGCATCGCGCGATGCAATCGCTCTGCCAAAAGTGCAAGCGGCGGGCAATGGCCCGCCGCGATCGATACCGATGTCGACTGCATCGATGTGGGCGGGGCCAATCGCCCGTCGCTTGTGCACATTGCAAGAGCGACTGCATCGCGCGATGCAATCGCAGAGTCTGACCGACATCTAACCGCTACAGTATGCGCTGCGACTCGTCCTTTGCGCGTCTGCGTCTCTTCCTTCGTCGCGCGACGGACCTCCTGGGGGACAGACGGTCGTGTCGTAGAAATAACATATCTTGCCATTCGAGTCCGTTTGTATATACTTCTATTTTATTCTTTATTATTTCTTTTGTCTACATGTTAAATAAATAAATAAATAAAGTAAAATGTTCATGTAAATGATTATCTTAATTTATGGCATAGTATAGAATGGACACAAAAAGTGGGGAAGAAGTCGAGCGTGCATGAAAAAAATAATGTGATAGGTGTAGTCTGTCATACATACTAGTTGCCGCGCTCTCATCAATATGTCAAAGTGGAATTTTTGCAGAGTTCGAGCGAATTTACCCTCTTCACGCGGAGCACTACTTCCCTGGGAGTGTAAAATGTGTTGCTAGGGACCACTGCACAATCACTCGGAGAATTTTTGTACCTGATCACAAGTTTCCTCCGCCAAATTTCGAGTTAGTCGTCTAGCTTCTCCTTGTTGCAGTGATTCGATTACCTTATCCTGAAAATATTCACAATAGCATAAAAATTCTGAATGGGCGGTGCTGCTCCAATATGAACAGAATCAGGAATGCAACAGAATCTGCAGGACTGTTCTGTTTCCTATAAGTTTGTCGATAGAAAAGGCGGTGGAATTAAGTTATAGCATGGCCAGTGAGTACACGATAAGAAGAATCTTGAATCCAAGAAACAACCTCCTTTCCTTGTCCTTGATTTGTCGCAATTGATGCGCCTATCGGTTCGGTCCTCTTCAACGCTCAACGTCTCTTGAACTGCTAGGGTCTCAGGCACGAGACGACGGAGAGGAGGGTGTTCCGGGCCACTAGCGTGCCAATTGAGCCGCGAGCAAGACCGTTCTAGATCGCCAGGGGCATATCTTTCGATGCGCATTGCGTGTCGTTCCGCACCATTAGGAGTGCCCCCTGTTCCTCCATTAGGTACACCGCGGTGCACAATAGCTATTACCCCATAGAAACTTAATTCTTGACAGAGTCCCAAAATTTTGTCGCCTCGCGTCACTATAGTTTAGAAATAGACGAAGGAATAATATCTGTGATACTTATTTGACATTACGACTTTTTTAAAGTTTGTGACAACAATTTTTCACTTTTTGAGGCCGGTGCATAATAGATTGGACGATATGTATTGTGGATCAAAAAACAAGACGTAAAGTCTGCTCCTCCCATCTAAGTATGAGCAAAGGGTCCTTTCTTCTCTGTGAGCTTAGGGCTGGAATCAGATTTTAAATCAGCGCATTCTAAGCAGCAGAGGCGGTAGAGTTTTCCACTCCTTTGTAATGCCTTTTCTTAGCGGTTGAACATTGTCATACGCTGTCCCATTTCAGTAGATCTTACGCATCAGTATACCCTATGTATTCCCGATAGGTTTGTATCAGGATTACATGCCGGCGAAGAAAATAATGGGTTGGTATTAGATTGAAAGTGGGACAGAGTGCTTCACGAAGTTAGGTTCGAAGTGTTCTTTTGCCCGAAGATGAAGTGCTTTTTGAAGTCTCAAGAAACGAAAGGTACCAGCGTGATGTTGAGGAGTGACTGATAGTTCTGGCTTCTCATTCACAAGAATTAAAATGAATGTCAAGGCTACCATCACTAGAGGACGCCCACCAAACCATTCAGGAGAATGCACCGGATGTTGCTTCGAGGCACCAGTACTGGTTCACTTCTGCAAGAGCGCCAGTTCGAGTGCCGTTAACACTACTCACCTCCGCCGAACAAAATGTCATCGAAAGAAATTACCGTAGGAAAAATAGAAATGAGAAATTTAAATTTAACATAAAGCTGGAAATATGCCCAGAACACTCCGCTGCCCAATCTCTGCAATCCTCATCCCTCGCAAGAGGGAGCCGCTTATGTCGATGATATTGAGTCAGGCGTAGTGTCGGCTTTATTTATTGTCGAACTATGTGGTCCGATATTTTCAACATACGAGACACGGTCCATTTCGAAACGACAATCCCGCAAGCGACAGCCAATTCATAGGCAACCTTTGTGGAACTCAATGCCAAATTAATCAAGCAGCGCCTGCCGCGCTCAGGAACACTGACTCTCCAGTGCTGATTTGTTCTTAAGTACCAGTTTGAGAATGATTCTTGATCACAGTTGCAACTGTACTCCTGGGAATGAAGGGTTCCTTAGAGATTTGGAGATCACCCTTGTCAAGAAGAAGTTACGCTTCACTTCGAATCCAGTCTTCGTTTGTGAAACGCGTATACTTCACATAATACGTGAGTACATGCAAACTTAAAAAGCAGGAAAAAAGTCGTTGGAAAAATTGATATATCTCAAGTCGTCCAATCAATCTATTGTGCACCGCCAAAAAAATCAATATTTCACTCTAAAAATTTTCAAAGACAGTGTGTCTAACTGAATATTGTGTCAACATTATTTATCTACTTCCCCAGGAAATATATCAACAGCAGAATCAATAAAAGTTTCGGCCTCTCTCAAAAACTAAGTTTTTTATAGGGTGCAATCTATTATGCACCGGGGTATGCTTTCCCTTTTTCTTCTTCGCCTTAATCGTGGAATCCTCCATCCTAAAATAGAACCAAAAATGGCAAGATTAGTCGCTTTAGCGAATTAGTTACCTTTGTCAATTTTTGAGAACTCTCCCTAGATTTGTAAATCACTCAACCTAATGGGAGGAGTTTGAATAGCATTATGGAATAAAAAAGTTTGCATGTTCATTGCTGGTCAGTCATTTTTTGCCCAATAATAACGTTTGTGGCTGAATCACACTTTTGTTATGACCTAATCCATTGAGTTAAGGACTAAAAGTGAAAAAAAGTTGAAAAAGGCTGAAGAAAATCATAGCGCCAAGGACTTTTCAGTGAAGAGATTTCAATGAGAAATAGTCGAAAGAACCTTTTCTTCTATGGTGAGTTTGGTAGATTGTTGAAGTTTCTCGAGCAATTTTGTAATTCGTGTATTGTCGACACGCGAGATTGTGCGATTTCGCGTCTTTTTAAGGCTGTCTCAGTGTGCCTCGAAATGGCGGCTGGGACCAGTGCTACGCACAAGTGCTGCTGTCTCTCGATTAAAAATTCGGAATAAATGTTCATACAAGAACGAGGAAGCATCCGTAATACTATAGTCCTTGCTATCGTTAGAAATTCTACGGTTTGTCCCAATAGAGGAAGTGATAGGTCAGGTAGCGTACATATAAAACTTCGAGCTACCTCCAGACTGTAGAAGTAGTAGCTAGTAGAAGGCGAAAAGGCTGAAACGTCTGGCTATCAGTAAAAATATCTGCCAGACAAAAGGAGGATATTGTGAAATAAAGCCTATTTTTACACATTTTCGCGTTGAACTGGGCAAGAATAGTGGAGAATCGAGTCCCTGTTCCCTGAGAGTGCGCCACGGGTTTTCTTTTGTGTTGCATGACGGTATTGGTGATGGGTGGGGTAGGGAGTGTTGAGTTTATGAACGCTTCCGTTATGAGTTCGAAACCTGCTGAGCAACGACTAATTCGTAGAAAGCTGAGAGCCATATCGGTCACTCTGGGTGAATCAAATCCACATTAATGACGGCGGAAACGCCATGAAAGCGGTTTACGCTTGCCTGTAGTGGCCGCATTTCCGTAACTTGTCTCATAGCTGAAACGTAATGCTTCAAAGTTAACTTGAGTCACGAGAAAAAAAGTTGTTGGAAATTCCTTTTTGGGCTCTCTGAGTATGCAAATTCCGGCTTACTTTTAATACTAAAAGACACACCCCACGAAAATTTCGGATGGGTCCCTTTGGTCGGTAGGGGTCGATTTTACAAAGAGACGTTTCCCAATAACAACGCGAGAAGACGGCCGTGGTTGGCGGCGATGGACCCAGGTCAGCGCAACACTCCTTAGCAGCAAACCAATTCGATAACCGCGACGACGTCAAAATTTGAGTGCCCAACTTCTTCGAGTCGAACCAGAAAGAGTTCTACGCGGTAGGCATCCATGCTTTGCGTAACAAAAGGTGATGAGCCTGTGACACAGGTGAATGAGATGTTTCAGGTTGATGTGCTTCATTATTGTTTTTATAATTGATGATCGAAACGACATTTCAATCGCTCCAACCTAACAGATGGATGGATACAAACACTAGCGCCGCACCTACTGCGAGCCATGCTTGTGTAGCGGAGTTTTTTGGCGTCATAAGCTCATGCAAGCATTAGGCAGCCTTGACACCTCTATACCTCACAAGTGGATGGGCTCTGTATTACTCGGGTAATCGCAGAATCCAATTTCAAAAATATATCCATCAAGGGCGTAGGGCTAAGTGGATGAAAAGTAAATACAAGAATTTGAATTCGAAAAAAAGACCCACATCGTCAGTTTGTATTCCGAGCTCAACAATTAACGGATCGGGGTCGTTCGGAATTCGGTGTGACGAGCTGCGCGATCTCCTCCTGTGCAGGTGTCGACCGGCGTAGCGGAGCAAGCGGAGATACGACGGAAATGACTACAGACGGCTGCTGCGATTCTGAAATGCACAAACTATGTATTAGGTTGTCCTATAAGTATTGTCCCTTTTATTCAGACAAAAGTTTTCTGTTAAAGTCCCATTGTTTTATATCAAACCAGAT